CAACATGAAAGCAAACTAGGTAAAATTAGGTGGTTGAACGAATATACTCTTATGCTGGGATATATGCAGATGTCCGGTCAGAATATGAAAAACATAATGTTGCTAATATACAAGTTGTGTGAAAATAATTGTCTTTTGTCAAAACCAGACTCACAAGTCTCTCTGTCTTCATCAAACATAACATCAAATTTAAAAAGATCTTTTCTTACACAAGACATGGAGTGTATACACCAACAAATTTTAGATCAAAGCTAGTGGGCCACACTAACAACTATAAAACTATTAACAAAATTTACTTTTTAGTGATCATTTCCTCCCAGTTGCAAAATCAAAATGAAATAATTACTAACTAAATACTAACCCTATTTGGAAGTGAAAACTACATGTAAATTTACCCGGTTTAATTAGGAGACACACTATGTTAAGTTCAAACCATTGGCATACACAAAAATAGATGATAATTTCAACTCAATTATTTTATACTAAAGACCCCAAATGCGTAGATCAGATACTTAGAAGTCATTTACTGAAAAATGCAGGATGAATACTCCTTAGATTATCTCCACCTGGAAGTGTATTTTCCTGAAAATTAGTGAGTAAATATTTACATCAAAATTTCCATATCATTTCTACATGTGTTACATTACATGAGTAATTTTCACAAAATTTTCAAAATAAGCTTATATATATCGTTTTTCTGCAATGGGACTTCCTTTATGTTTTGGACAATACTTGTGCATTTCAAATGCTTTGTCACATCACTTACATAGGCTTTCTGCCCAGTGTTACCTTGCTCAAGTATTTACACTCTATCAACTGGATTTCTTTGCACACTTCTTACAAACATAGAGTTACTGCCCCATCTGAGTTCTTTTCTGTGTATAAATGAAGAGCTGCATCAAATCTTTTCCCACACTGCCTGCATGCATATGGTTTGCACCTGTATGCCTTCTTTCATGTATTTGGTGGCATTTTGGTCTACTAAATGTTATTCCACATTGCTTACCTACAAAGTGCTTATTCTCAATAAACTCATTCATGTGTTTGAGAAGTACTCTGTTGGCTGAGATTTCCCACATTACTGACACACACAGAGTTTCTCTTCAGTGTGACATGTTTCATGTATTTGGAGATATTTTTGTCTAGTGTATACTTTCCCATATTGTTCACAAACATAGTGCTTCTCCCCACTGCATTCTTTCATGTCTTTGACAGTGACCGCATATGCTGAATGCTTTCCCACATTGCTTACATACATGGAGCTTCTCACCATTGTGGGATCTTGTATGTCTCTGGTACGTCGAGTTATCGGCAAATCCTTTTCCACATTGCTTATGTACATAAGATTTCTCACCAGCGTGGGATCTTGTATGTCTGTGATATGTGGAATTAATAGTAAATCCTTTTAAACATTGTTTACAAACATAGGGTTTCTCACCAGTGTGGGATTTTGCATATCTATGATATGTGGACTTATTATTAAATCCTTTTCCACATTGCTTACTTGTGTAGGGTTTGTTACCAGTGTGATTGTTTTCATGTATTTCCTAATTACTCTATGTAATGAGTGCTTTCTGACATTCATTGCATACATAGAATGGCTTCCCAGTGTGAATTCTTTCATGTACTTCACAATAATGCTGTGAAGTGAATGCTCTCTCACATTGTTCACACTTATAGTGTTTCTTTTAGTGTGAATATTTCATGTCTTTGACAGTGACTCTGTGTGCTGAATGCTGTCCAACATTCCTACATGCATCAGGTTTTTCACTGGTATGTGGTCTTATGTGCCTATGGTATGAGGAGTTATCAGTCAATTCTTCTCTGCATTGCTTATGTATATAGTATTTCACACCCATATGATTAATTTCATGTATTTTGTCAGATATCTGTGTAATGAATGCTTTCCCACATTTATTGCACACACTTTGTTTCTTCCCAATATCTACTGTTTTATGTCTATGAAAGGAATTCCTATGAGCTAGTGCTTTCATATATGTCATATATATAGGCCTTCTTTTTAGTATGTTTTCATTCATGTATTTGAATATGGTATGAAGAAATGAAAACTTTTTCAAATTGTTTGCATAAATATGGATTTCCCCCACTATGATTTCTTTCATGCATTTGAACACCACTGGGTGTGCTGGAGGCTTTCATACTTTCCTTACCTAAAAACATCTCCTCTTCTGGGTAAGTTTTCTCACTAAGATCGGAGGAGACTTTCCAGCAGTGCTCATTTCGATAGGGTTTCTCTCCAGTCTTTCTTGTTTCATGCTTTTGAAAGAACTGAGTATCCGTGTAGGGTTTTCCATGTCCACTGCATTTATACGGCTTCTCTTCACATCCTAAATAATCATCTGGATTCAGGTGAGTGTGAGCTATAATGCACACATTGAGGTTCAAATGCCCACTCAGAGGATTTCTACAAGCAAGGATTCCAGTTGGTTTTAAAGCACTTTGTTGTGTGTCTACATTAGCACCTGGAGTCCAAATGAATATTTCTTCCTGTTGTTTCTAAGCTTTCTATTGATAGCATTTTTCAACCTTTTCATTTCTGTAAGAAAAAGGACAAAATATCAATGAAAATAAAATTGTTCTTATATTAATTAGTCAGGACAAGTTCTAGACTGATACCTGCTAAGAACTTTTGAGCATAAGTTGACCTAATAAGTTGGAGGGGGACTGAAAAACACCAATTCCCAAAGGATGGCAGTTCTTTGCAAATTTTTATTTGGCATATGTCTGCAATACACAGGGCTAGTCTCTTTTAGGGGAGGGGTACATTTGTGTCTCACACGTTTATGAGTTTTGATACCTTTGCACCCATCACTCTCCCCTTCCTTCCTTAACCTGATCATCTTTCTCATCGCCAAAAGTTAAACTTCCTCTTCACTATCATCTCTCTTTTATTTTACTTCTTAACTTATTTTTAATTTCTCATTTAAGAGAACACATGCGATATTTTACTTCCTACTTCTGACTTATTTCACTTAAACTTATGGGATGGAGTCCCAACTATTTTTGTTTTTTGACCAATTATATGATATCTTTCTTCTTCATGGCTGAATACATAGCATATACTTTCTGGGCTCAGAGTTAAACAGAGCTCGTAGCACTGAATTTCATTTCTACATTTTTTTTCTATTTTATTTTGGGAGAAATTCTCATGGATTATTGATTTCCTCAGGCCAAACATCAGGTTGCTATTCTTTTGATTCAGCAACCCAGAGAGCAGGAAATAACAAACACACTGCTGTGATGAGCTGGCCCCACATTTCCGTTATTCAGGCATCCAGAGATGGGCCTCTGGGCTGTTTCCAGAGTTCAACTCCTTTGAAGTGAATCCAGAGCTTAGCTATTGTGAATACCCACGCACACTCTGCATTGATCACGTGTATGCATGGATCACTAAAATACGATGATTTTAATTCCTTTGTGAATATCTGAGGAAACATGCCTGGATCAAATAGAGACTTCTATTTTTACTTTGTGACATCTGAATATTGATTAACACTACGGTTTTATTTTACATTCTGACCAAGTATATATCAGGGTGCCTTCTAAGAATTTTAAGACAAGAATGGACTAAATATCTGGGGGAATGATTTGAAAACATCTACTATTACAATAATTGCATTCATTTGCATTTTGAAAACTGCCTCTAGGTTACCTATTTTATAGATAATGAGTGTGGCAAACTCATATGCATGAATGAATAGATTTCTTGAATATGAGTTCTCAAAATTCAAAATTTCTTCTTTTCATATTTTATTTTATATTCTATCAGAATGTAATGTTCTACATTCCAGTGATGTTGGTCATGAAAGTATTTTCTTATATCAATACACCAGATAGTGACATTTGTTGCATCATATCAGTATTACCTCAGTTTCCTACACTGGGATATTCCTATATTCAAATGTCAGATTATACAAAATCATACTTATCCAGATCTGCAGAATATTTGAGACACTGAATAAATTTAATGACCTCATTTGGAATATTTCTGCTCACACACAGACTCTTGAGAAACTTTTTGCTCTCAGTTCAAGTTACCTTAGATTCCTTCAGCAATGTTTGTACTTTTCTTCAATTTGCTGGTTATCTCAGCTTGATCTTGAATTATAGATACATGTAAAATTTCACTATATCCCTACATGAAATCTAATAGATTCCAGTTAGATTCACAGTACGATGTAACCAGGCTGAGATATTCCTCAACATGGCTTCAATACCTATTTAATGAAGCAGCACCAGTGAGCAAGAACCAAGGTTCTATGATTGTATAAATGAGAAAATGGCACTTGTTCTGCAGTACTTTATGATTCTTCGGTGTCTTGTCATTTTGGGGCTTTTAGTTAGCTAATGAATGAATACATTAGACACTTTTGGCTTTTAGTTGGGATTTTACATAGCTTGCAATTTAATTCTGTTTCTTTGATCTTTTTATTAATCCATAGCATTTTTGTAATAAATGTTATAATACCACTTACTCAAAAACCAAGTGCCAATTGCTTTGTCCCAAGGTCACTAGGAATCCCACGCTGAGAGTGTTGAACATCTTTTCAATGTAGCAGGCCTGACTGACTGGTAAAATGCAGCCTGACAATGAACCAGAACCTGGTGATGTGGCAGGGACAGCCAAAATATTAATGGTGGAGCTTATCAAAGTTTGGTGTTCTCTTTGTCCATTATAAGAATGCACTGTCCTCCAACCTACCATTTGCTAGAGGCACCTTCTTACCTAGAGGCACTTTCTGTTTCTCAGGGAAACTAACAAATCCATCATATCTTTCTCTCACAAATTATGCAAATGAAGTCTATTTCAGAGCATGAGGTTCACAGGTTTTTACATATACATGTTACGGATTGAGTCCAGGAAATTTATGCATGCTAAAACTGCAACACTGTACAAAAAGTCCCAAGAAACAAGAGTCAAAACCTCAGAAGGCAGGGAAACCCACAGTGGCTTTTATGGAAGTCTATAATTAAACCCGCATTGTGCAGATTTTCACTGTAAGCACCCTTTCTGTTGTTGTTCTTTCCAGCTGGGGCCACCTACAGGGTAGGTTTCCTCCATGCCAAGGAAACATCAAGACGAAGTTCATTTCTCTTTCCAGGCGGGCTCAAGATGGGGCTCATCATCAAGGTATGGTTGTTGCAACACAACAATCTTGAGGAGTTAAATCAGATGAGATTAAACCCAAATTTTCCATAGGATGTTTTATTCATACTACATGAACTGATAAAGTGGAAGGAAAATGCTAAGACACTTTATGTGGATTTAAAACCGACAAAAACACCTTTGAGAATACAAAGAATTCTGTAATTTCTTCTATGTATTCAAAGGTGTTGGAAATCAGGCAGTGAAAAAAGAACTGCATTCCTTCAGTTCTTTCTAAATCAAGGTGCAGCTTCTCTTCCAGGGTCGTGTACCTCACGATGCCCTTGTTGCACTTATCCTCTGAAATTGTATGTCGACCTCTGCTCCATTAACACTGACCCATTCACTCTTCCTATGGTAAACCAAAACATAACTAAAAACGCATTTTCCTTTCAAAAATGTGTTCCTGATTCAGGTTTAACATTTTTCTGCCTGAACCAATACCTATGTGGCAAAGAGAGAAAGCTTTGAAGAACCTGTTAGACTTAGACATGGGGTGAAAGAGTAGCTGTTCTTGGGCAAGGTAGATGCTGTTTCTCTTTTTGCCATTTGTTCAGTCCTGTGTGTCTTCTCAGAAAACTTCTGCCTTTCTGTTTTTTGTGCCTGTTTCTACCGTGACAAAGAGGAGTCGTGTACCTCTCCGTTACAAATAAAAAAGAGTAGTGTTTCCTTATCTGAGTGGGATAACATTCCATGTCTGCAATGTGTGTGTCCAACATTGGATGTTAACATTATCACACACATAGAAACACACGTGTACATATTTTATTTTACATATTTATACTTATGGAATAATTTGATAAGTTATATATGCATAAATATTGACAATGCTACTGAATACTTAAATTGGTATAACCATAGTGTCATCAGTGTCACCTGTATGTGGTGTCTTTCTTTTTATCTCATCCTCCATTATATTTAAACTTGTCATGTGGTGATATCACATGAAAGCTTTCTGATGAAATATATGAGATAAATAATGGGTCAGAAGGGCATTACATTTAATTATGCTACTGAAACAAGCACATGATTTAAATTTTTTCATCTTTTATTTTTGAATTCTCAATTTAATATTATGAGACCCTGTTGAGATTTCATTTTGTGAATGTGTGGATAAAGAGAGACTCTGATTGTTTAGCTGGTGCCAAACCCCAAAGCCTGGACAGACAGGGGCGAATTTGTGCAGTACAATCCCTGCGTCCCTGGATGAAGTGTTTGCTAGGTGAACCCATGATTCAGTTCCTGTGCATTTAATTCACACACTTGTGATTATCACGTGACTGTACTGCACAATGGCGGCTCCATATTTCTGTCATTATAGGATGCCATTCTTCCTGTCCATCACTATTCCATGACTGCCAGTCACATTCCGTGTGTTTTCTTCAGAACCCTAGGAACTTGCGTGAAATCCTGACACACTTGCATATTCTGGTTGCTGGTGTTTATAGAAGACTGAACTAATACACAAGGCATGGTGCCTGTTTTTCTTGTATAAGATAGAAGTATACGATATGTACACACATCTCAGATAAATGGAAATGAGCAAAAGGTAGGTGAATAACATAAAGAAGGATTCCATTTGTTGATTCTTAGTATTTATTCAATGATTTTTCCCATCAAAAGAAATCACCAAAAGGGTGAAAACTCATAAATTTAGCCCACTGTTCTGAAATCCTGAATCATTTTTATTGTTATTTTCTTTATTAAAAAAAAAAAAAACCACAGAGGGTATAAGAAATGCAAGAAAAAAGTACATATATCTATTATACACTTCAAATGCCTTCCAAAGATGAACAGTTACATTATGCCCTGCAAACACATATTAATAAATTATAAATAGTTTAAAATAGCTTTTGCTCTGGTGAATTATGTTATCATCCACATGCCTACATAGACATGCCATGGAAACTTGCAAAATATGCTTACAAATATGTCTATGTGTTCCCTTCCAGACAAACTGATACATGAGTTAGAAATCCAGCTGGGAAACAATGGTCATGAGAAAAATGGGTGTCATCTATGAAGATGGGGCATTGGTAGATCAAAGCATGAGGAAAAATTTTTTGGCACACTTGAATTTTCTTAAAAAGATGTGATTTTTTAATAGTAGATATACAGATACATAGACCAGATATTTCTGTGTGATATATTGAGAAACACAAAATGAATACATTTTAGGATATATCCATCTTTGAGTGTGTTTTATGGAAAGTATATTAACACCAATATTTTTATATTATTTCTACTTGTCTCTACATGAATAAATTTGAAAGTATTTTCAAAATAGTCTTACAGATGTAGAACTTCAATTGATTGATTTCTTTCACATATTTCACAATACCCATGGACACTGAATGCTTTTCCACGTTCCATACTTAGGGATTTGCCATGATTTGATACTGTTCTGAAGGACAGCATCTCTATGAACTGATTTTATTTCCCACATTTCTTTTATGCACAGGTACTCCCCAGTTTGAGGTGAATTTCCTATTTTTAAAATGAAAATCTTGCAGCAAATCGTTTCGACACCGCCAATATACAAAGGAGTTTTCTCATACGTGCACTATTTCCTGTATTTGTTGGCATTTTTTTTTTTTTTGCACTCAATGTTTCCCCCACTGTTAAAGAGCATAAAGTTACATCCTGGTGTGAAGTTTTCCATGTTTCTGACTCTCCCTCTGGTGCTGAAAAGATTTTCCACCCTCATTACATGCACAGGTTTTCTCCACATTGTGAGATCTTTCATTATGTTGACAGTGACATTGTCTGCTGAATGCTTTTCCATATTGCATAAATAGATAAGGTTTCTCCCCTGTGTGAATTTTTTCATGTACTACAAGTTTACCATTTCTGCTGAATGCTTCCCACATTACTTACATGCATAGTTACTTCACGTTGTGAGTTCTTTCATGCTGTTGACAAGAGACTGTTGTTCCCAATGCTTTTCCACATTGCTTACATGTGTAGGGTTCTCGCCAAAGTGAATTCTTTCATGTTTTAGAAGGTGACCACTTTGCTTGAATGCTTTCCCACACGGCTTACATACATAGGGTTTTACCCCAGTGTGAATTCTTTCATGTTTTAGAAGGTGACCACTTTGCTTGAATGCTTTCCGACACAGCTTACATACATAGGGTTTCTCCCCGGTGTGAATTCTTTCATGGACTCTAAGACTATCACTGTTCCTGAAACATTTCCTACACTGCTTACATACATAGGGTTTCTCCCCAGTATGAATTCTTTCATATATGCTAAGTTTACCATTTTTCCTGAAAGATTTCCCACGCAACTTATATACATAGGGGTTCTCTCCAGTGTGAACTCTTTCGTGGATGCTAAGTTTACTATTTTTCCTGAAAGATTTCCCACACTGTTTACACACATAGGGTTTCTCCCCAGTGTGAATTCTTTCATGGACTCTAAGGCTACTATTGTGACTGATTTTTTTCCCACACTGCTTACATACATAGGGTTTCTCCCCAGTGTGGATTCTTTTATGTACAAGGTTACCATTTTGACTGAAAGATTTCCCACATTGCTTACATACATAGGGTTTCTCCCCAGTGTGAATTCTTTCATGGACTCTAAGGTTACTATTTTGACGGAATCTTTTCCCACACTGCTTACATATATAGTGTTTCTCCCCAGTGTGAATTCTTTCATGGACTCTTAAGATTATCATTGTTCCTGAAACATTTCCTACACTGCTTACATACATAGGGTTTCTCCCCAGTGTGAATTCTTTCATGTATGCTAAGTTTATCATTTTTCCTGAAACATTTCCCACACCACTTACATACACAGGGTTACTCCCCAGTGTGAATTCTTTCATGTACACTAAGTTTACTATTTTCTCTGAAAGATTTCCCACACCACTTATATAAACAGGGCTTCTCTCCAGTGTGAACTCTTTCATGGGTGCTAAGTGCACTATTTTTCCTGAAAGATTTCCCACACTGCTTACACACATAGGGTTTCTCCCCAGCGTGAATTCTTTCATGGACTCTAAGGTTACTATTGTGACTGAATGTTTTCCCACATTGCTTACATACATAGGGTTTCTCCCCAGTGTGGATTCTTTTATGTAGGAGAAGGGCACCATTTTGACTGAAAGATTTCCCACATTGCTTACACACATAGGGTTTCTCCCCAGTGTGAATTCTTTCATGGACTCTAAGGCTCTTATTTTGACTGAATGTTTTCCCACACTGCTTACATATGTAGGGTTTCTCCCCACTGTGAATTCTTTCATGGACTCTAAGGCTATCACTGTTCCTGAAACATTTCCTACACTGCTTACATATATAGGGTTTCTCCCCAGTGTGAATTCTTTCATGGACTCTAAGGGCACAATTTCGAGTGAAAGATTTCCCACATTGCTTACATGCATAGGGTTTTTCCCCAGTGTGAATTCTGTGATGTCTTTGCAAGTGGCCATTTTCACTGAAACATTTCCCACATTGCTTACATACATAAGGTTTCTCCCCAGTGTGAATTCTTTTATGTACAA